GTGGTGTACAAATTATTCCACCAAGAGGACTAGAATCTTGAGTCCCAGAGGTGTTAGGAGCCAATATACTCAGGGGGAAGGGCATGTGCCTGTAAAGAATATTGTTATCCAGAAAAGCCTGAAATTATCTGGGGTTTACAGTGAGTTGGTGCAGCACATTGTATAACCAAAACAACTTCTGTTTTACTTTTCTACTGAAAAAACTTTCAAGCCCCAATTATTTTTAGAGACAAAATCCAAAGTGCAAAGATTTAATCACTTAAATCAGCTGCAATCCTGCAAAGGATCAATAATTTCCTTGTAGCCTCTATGCCCCCCCCCACCAGTTGTGCCTGTTTTTCTGAACATGCAACTTCCCCTAACGAATATTTTGCAAGCCACCAAACTTGAGCTCCATAAGATCTAGAAACTTGAAACTCTACAATTTCAGAGTGCCGAAAGCAGACAAAAGGTGGGAATCTTATTTTCTGCCCCCCAAAGGGGGGGGACAACTTTCAGGTGGGTGGACTTCTTCCACTCCCAGAATTCTAGGAGTGGAAGTCCACCCATCTGAAAGTTGCCAAGGTTTGAGAACCACTGTGGACTAGAATGGTGTTCTAGAGAAAAGAGGTACTTTGGAACACACAAACACACACACAACTACAACCCGTCTGCAAAGGAGCTTCAGAGTCAACACTTGTGCACCAACTTCCAATTCACACTTTTTCCTGTCTTTCCAGCCAAAACTCAGTGTCATTTCTGGGTTTAACACACAAAAAAGTGACCCCCCCAATTACTCTTGGGACTCCATTTTGGGCCCCTTTAGGAAGAAAGTGTGTGTGTGCTTTTTTAAAAAAACCATGAGGAACACCCCTCTTTTTAAGGAACAGAGAGGCTGGGGCAACCTCTGGCACATCTGTAGAGGGGATTTCCCCCCCCTCCCCAAAGTTCTGGGCTCACCAAGCATTTAAGAATAAAAGAATGCAAGTCAACGTTTGCTCTCAATCTGCTGCTGAGATTACACAGGAACGCCACACCAAAGTTAAAAATCCAGGTTTGCAGGCAACCACAATCATACTTAGAAATATACAGTCCTCCACTTACAACTATTCATTTAGTGACTGAAGTTACACCACTAATTTAAAAAAAAGGGGGGAATTATGATTTTTTTCCCACCGTTGCAGCATCTTCCCCACCAATGGTCACTTGGATCGAAATTCAGGTGCTTGGCAACTGGCTCATGTTTATGACGGTCGCAGTGGGTCCTGGGGGGTCACGTGACCCCCCCATTTGCGATCTTCTGGCAAGCCAAGTCAGATTCACTTAACTGTGTTGCTAAGTTAACAACTTACCAGGGGTCCGCTTACAAGACTTGTCCAATTTTGAGCTCAATTGGAGGTAAAATTCCTCCTATGTCTCATCACCAGCCAAATAAGTGTTCAATTACAGAGCCGGGAGGGATCCTTGGAGGTCTTCTAGTCCAGCCCCCTGCTCAAGCGGGAGACCCTATACCCATCTCAGACAAATGGCTGTCCAGTTGTGCAATTGCAATGCAACCCCCCTTCTCTATAAACCAACACCCCTCTCTTCGCCCCCCCCTCCCCAGCGCTCAATTCAATTCAATTCCCCTTGCCTAAGGAGGGCAGCAGAAGCAAAAGAGCATCAGCCAATTGTGGGCCAGAAACGGCCCCCCCCCTCCCCATTATCATGACAATATGGCCAGAAGCCTGGGCGGGCAAGACCCCCGCCCCCAAGGTCTCCTGCGGGAGGGGGCGGAATACGAGCAAAGGCGCTTTGCAGAAGGTAACCAGCCCTGTTGCAGCGGCTGCTCTGCGGAACTACAAGCCCCAGAGTTCCTCGCGGCGGAGAGGGGGGGGCGGCCATGATCGCCGCCCGGAGAGGCGGCTTCTGCAATCGAGGCCCGCCCGGGGGCTTCTTTGCAAGCCCTTTCAGGTTCATCTGGGGCTGGAGCGGCCCACAGCCGCACCCCGCGCAGCCTCCGTTGGGCTTCCAGGGCAGGAGGCCGCTTGCAAGGAGGCGCCCGCGGGCGCAATCCCAGGCGCGGGGGAGGGGTGGATGGGAAAGGGAGGACTTCCCCTGCCGGTCCTCAACCTGCGGGGAGGGGATGGGGGGGTCCCTGCAGCCCCCCCAAAGGGGCGGTGCAATACAAAGGAGGCGGCCTCCTCCCAAATGCACAGCGCCCCCACCCCCCAGCGCAGCATCCTCTGCAAAAGCAGGCCGGGGGGGGGGGCTGGTCGGAGGCTTGCAAGACCCCAAATCCTTTTTTTGGTGTGTGTGTGTGTGTTTTTTTTGGGGGGGGGTCGATTTGCTTGCTGCAAAACGTCCGGCCAGCTGCAAAGACTCGGACGCCCACATGCAGCCCCATCCCCCCCTCCTCCTCCTCCCACCAAGTTTGCCCCAGTTTCAGTCCCCCTCCCCAATGCCATGCTTCAGCGACTCTCTCCCCCCCCCTCCGGAGCTGGATGCACCTTCCCAGCAGCGTTCAACACCCCCAGCCTCCCCCCCGAGAAACAGACCCACGTGGACGAAGGGCAGCCCGCCCAGCCCTTTTCCAACAGCACCCCAACTTTCGCCCCTTCCCCCCCATCCAGAAAAATCACCGTGACCTTTGGTTTAAGTCGCCCCCCCCCCTACCGGGAAAGATTTTGGAGGGGGGGTTCCCTTTCTTCCCTCTCTCATGGCGAGACCCCCCACCCCAGGGGGTCGTCTCTCTCATGCAAAAGGTGTGGGGGGGCCAAAGGTAGCTGATCCCTCCCTGCCCCCACTCCGAGGACC